CACACTATGAAAGGCTAACCTCAACGAGACATTTATCTTGCTATAAAAGTGCAAGATGGGTATTTTGATTATAACACATTGTATTCTAAAATAACAAACACAAAAGTTAATCCATGAGATAGGTTTACTAGATTCTCTTTAAAAAGGTCTAAAGGTAGAAAATAGTATTAAGGTTGCAATTTTGAGGTAGGAGGCTGTTTGGTTTGTGCCCGTAAGGTAAACATGTTACTCCAGAGGAAAAAATATCCTAAATATACAAGCATCTGTGACATGCTGTTGAAAATAATTTCCTTTACGTTGTAAAAACGAACATTTTTTTGCAATTACAATATAAGGCAAGACATTATACTTGAATAAATGGTAAAGTATAAACAAAACGAACATGCTAGCATTGATGAAATCATTTACGAACCTTGTCTGTGCAGTTATCCAATGTAACTGCCTGTAACAACCATATTATAAAGCTCATAAACCCATTAAATGTCACAGTATGTGCAAGGATACCAGAAAGGGATGACATTACTTGTAAAATACTGTTGACATGGAGCGCCACACATAGGAATTACATTAGTAAACACGTAACAAGATCCTACTTTTAACAATACAACTATGCATTTTTGTACCAAAAATGAATTCCTTGCCCCATAGGCTTGCATTGTAAATTCATTACTGTATTTTGCTACAGAAGCTACAAATAGATTATGCCACAGATTCTGTCTTGAACACGTTTTTTGCTCCCCATCAGTGGCGTTTCATCAAAAAGCCTTTCAGAGCTCACATTCTGTAGCTGTGCCACACAATACAAAATGATTGATACATTGACGCTTGCTTGGTTTATATAATGACCTCATTGAAAGCATTCACATTAAACCCTTTTACATATGAAATCACCGTGGTTTGTTTAGTGCTCTCTGAGTGCCCTTTTCTACTTGACTGAGTTCACATTTATTCGGGGAGCCATGAAACACTTTCACCTCTTACGGTGTTCTCACAAATTGGCCTCATGGCTCGACACACCGCCGTGCGCTCATGATTAAAAGGTCTTGTATTGCCGTAATGACATTGCTTTCTCTAGGATGAGGGTTTTGCAGGAACGAATCACTTATGTACAATGGTTAGAAACAGAAAGAAGGAAAAATGTTGTTTCAGAAAGACACAAAAATGGATTGATTTTGTTGTCTCAGCATTTTGGATTAGTCAGTTTCTCCACTGTTTTCCACAAAACAAGGCTGAACAGCTGTGAAAAGGTAACAGCTGTATGCCATGACCTCATCCTCTGAGTAAATTGGTAACACACGATGACCTCTTGACTTAACATGGGGTGAATTGGGTGTTGGGGATGGGAGTGCTGCACATTTTGTTTTGTTATTCTGCATTGTTGCCAACAGGGTTTACCAGGACGAGGAGTGTAATCACAGCTCCATCTAGTGGCACTAGTATGCTATCACTGTTTACACACCTTTTTTTTTTTTTAAATCTATGACAGTGGTTCTCAATTCTTTTGACTCAAACTGTTGTCCAACATATTACTGGATATTTTAAATTAATTAACCATGATTCATGTGGCGATTCCAGAGGTTTTGAATTTCAAGTATCTGTATTAAAAAAAAAAAAAAGGCCTAATTTTAAGATGTATGTATTTGAATTGCATATACAATTTCCATCCATTTGGATTACACATTTTTAACATGAAAAAAATATATTTATAACCTTAATGTGATGCATATTTGTCAGTTGTTTTTAAATGAAGCAGAGAAGAAACTGGTAAGATTTCTGCACTCAAAAAAAAAAAATCATGGCATAGTTTATTATTAGCTGTTTGCATCTATTTGATTTTATTTAAATAGTTATATTTTAAAAATACATTTATTCAAATTGCTTAGAATCATCATAAATCTGTTAATTGTGAAAATAATTACATTTGTTCTGTTAAAATAACAAACAATAGGCCTATTCACTTACTTAAAATGTATGAGACTAAACAAAATTCATATATATATATATATATATATATATATATATATATATTTGTGTGCATTTAAATTTATATTATTATTATATTATAAAACATTCAGTTTATTAGTACTATTACAGAAATCTTATCTCCTCTTTGCTTGTTTCATTTATGTATGACTGACAAATATGCATCACATTAAGTTTATTAGTATTTTATGTTTATGTAATTTAAATAGATATTATTGAGGTTAAATTACAGTTAGATTGCTTTAATATATAATTCATAATTTAAATACTTCAGTACTTTTAAGTCATAATGTGGCCCCCTTGGAAGTTTGCTGGGACCCCCTGGTCTATATAATAGTTTAAATATGTGTGATAAACCAGGAAATCTTCTGTCTTGCTATCTATAGGACCACGACAAGCCCAGTCCCCCACAGAAACCACTTCCCGCAGACCCCTTAATCAGAGGCCACGGGGTGAGCCGAAGCACATCTGCAGTGGGAGTGCGGATACCTGGACCTCTAGCCATCCCGATTCCAACAGTACCACGACCGCCCCCTGCCATACCACTGCCAAACCGGTCAGTCCCACTGTGATACTGCTGGCAAAATCACATATTTATGGATGAAAACTAACTGCTTATTTTGATACATTGTAGACCTCTTCCCAGATTACCACAGCAGCCCTTTTATGATCACTGACATATGGACACCACAGCACTGGGTGAATTTCACCAGCATCTGAACACACTTGTTTGCACTATGAAAACTCTGTTGGACCAAGTGACCACCCCTGCAGAAACTCCACGGAGGGTCTCACAGAGAAGAGGGCTGACCCGACACCTTGGTGCTGCACCTCCTCAGAAAAGGTGTTAGTTTGTCCTCGCTCAGGTACTGCAGAACTATTTAAGATGTATATTTATTGTGAGGAGGAAACTATGTGCTGTGCTTGACACTTTTTTTACTGTATGACCATTTTTTGTTTGTTTTTACATGTTGAAAAAATGATGATTGACCAATCATGTTTTCCTTTAAGTGTTTTTCTTCAATTTATCTTATGGTAAGACTTACATTGGTGTTGTGAAGATCAAAAAAGACCTGCTTTAAAATGACGCGGCATGTCTGGGATACTGGAGTACAAGCTACATGAAGTCTAAATGACTAAACACAGAGCGCTGGAATCAGTGCCACTAAGTGCAAAAAAACCTTAATAATTACTTGAATGAGGCATGATGGCGAATGATGTCATGAAGGAGGAAGTGATGTGAGCCATTATTGTTCAGTCATCTGTGAGAATTGACAAACCAACTTTTCGTGAACTACAGTACCTTAAAATCACATGTGCTTGAGCAAATGCAGTGCTACAATATCTGCCAAAGCAAGAATCGCTATTACTATTGCTACAAATTTAGCCCTAAGCATTCAGCTTTGTTTGTAATGATACCTCAAATTATGTGACTTCTTGAGGAGAGATGTGCTGGACAATTAAACAGCCAAAACTGAGTTACATCAATTAGGGCTGAGTCGTCTAGAGAACAGAATATGCATTGCAACTGCATAGCAACGGCTTGTCAAGTTTATCTACAGAAAATGAAAAAAATCCAGTCAGTATTTATAGTTCAAACACTTGAAAGGTCGTGATGTTCCTTTTTCCAACATGTTTTGAAACATTCAGAGAAATACCAGTGGCAACACAAAATATGTAGTGACACACCACAGACCTTAAAATATCACGGAATAGCAGATCAGCATTCCCACTGAGCCATCAGCATCCAGCAGCTGTCATTATGGCCTTGTTGTGCTGTATACACACGTTCTGTAAAATATCTTCCAACACTTGAGGTTATAGATGTTGAATTTTCTGTACTGTATTTCTTGTATTATTTTCAAAAGTTTAGTGTCAGTGAAATTTTCTTTCAAAGCAATGAATGAATACTTTTATTCTGCAAGGATGCATTAAATTGATCAAAAGTGACAGTAAAGATATGTATTATTTATCAGTAAAGATTTCTATTTCAAATAAATGCTGTTCTTTTGAACTTTTTCTTCATCAAAAAAATTCTTATTATATATATATATATATACACACACACACACACACACACACACACACACACACACACACACACACACACACACACTGAAGACTGGAGTAATGATGCTGAAAATTCAGCTTTACCTTTAAAAATATATTAAAACAGAAGACCGTTATTTTAAATTGTAATAATATCCCATGATATTACACATTTTTACTGTATTTTTGATCAAATAAATGCAGCTTTATAAGATACTTTCAGAAAAAAATCTTACCGACCTCAAACTTCTGAATAATTTAAGTAGTCTCTTTAGGCAAATAGTCATTTTTCATTACCTTTTCACAAAAGTGTTCAACATCAAGATCATGTAAAGTACACAGGATGTAGTAAATATCACTGCTGGTGTGTGTCGTCACAACTATGGCATTTTTACACAACAAGTGGTTCCTTCTTGCCCATAACACAGCTCTCTTTATTCACAGCTGGGCTCACTGTTATTCATAAACTTATGAGATTGTTGTTCTGCTTGGTACTTCACCCTGAGAGGGTAATTACACTTCAGTTTTTCCATATAGTATTCCAGCATTGTTGCTTTGGGAGTATAACAAACCCAGCTGTCACAGTATTTCATTCAAGCCAAGCCTGTGTGTGTTTCTTTATGTTCTTGTTAACCTATTCACAACAATGTATGTACATTTCACTTTTTTATACGCACTCATGTGGATGTGTTAAATGCTCACTTCTTTTGTTTTTGTTTTTTATCTGTGGTCAAAGATGATTGCTCAGTTTTTGTGTAACGATTTTATATTCTACAAAGTCCATTTTAATTTCTATGAATTAGGATATTAAAAGGGAAATGTGATGCCTTCAAAAAATTAAACTGGATACTGATAATGTAAGGACTTGAACGAGAACAATAAACGAGGATATTACTATCGTGAATTCAATATCATTTTATTTTACACTACAGAAACATAAAAGTTGTTTTTAATAACTTATGGCTTTAATGTAGTGTAAAATATGACATTAAGATAAAGATCATATCTTGTCTCCATAACAGAACTGTCCTGCTGCTGTCAGTCGATTTGAATCTTCCAAGCTTATATTATCCAGCAAGTTTATGATGCTCTGAAACAGAAATTGTCTTTTTGTTCCAAGCTACAAAATATTAATTTGTTCATGTATAGTTTGTCAGGTTACCTGTCTCCCAAATGCTTTTGCCATATCCGCTGCACCTGCTCCATACTACATTAGGGTGTAAATATAATTTTATGAGGAGTGTTATTAGTTTTCCTGTGGCAAAAAGTTTTATTGCACTACTCGTATTGTTTAATCATTTATGCATTATGAATATCATCATGACCATAATATGTTACCTCGTTCTTCATGTGGTGATCTGCCCCACTGGCAAGCAGAAGTTTCACCAGCTCTACATGGTTATTCAGCACAGCGACCTGAAAAATTATAACCAAAAACTCCAGTGATGTCATCCATCTTGTCCTCGACAATTTTAGTGGCTGTTTTGATGATAAATACCATTAGTGGTGTCTTGCCAGCTTTGTCACGGATGTTTACATCAGCTCCAGCCTGGAGGAGGATGGAGGCGACCGCAGCGTTTCCACTGATGGCTGACACACGCATAAGAGGAGTCCAGAGAGACACTTTATCCATCACATCCACCTGTGAGAGTACAAGAACACATGCTTTAAACTGACAATATAGGGTCAAGCTCACCATTTGACAAAGTAATGGGCCGCAAATGGTACATCTAAAAAAAAAATAAAAAAGAATTTGTGAAATAGTGAAACTGAAGTTCGGTAACTTCAGATACCTGATCATATGAAATACCTTTAAAGGAATAGTTCACCCAAAAATGAAAACTTGCTTAAAATTTGTCTTTGTAATAAACAAGTCCATCATTAAGACACTTTTAACTTCAAATTGCTTCCAGCTGAAATACGAGTCCTTTATCCATAATATTGTTTTCTCCAGGGAGAAAGTCGTCTCATCTAAATCAGGAAAGAAATGTGCACGGATCAACAAGCAAAAACAGTTCTAAACAAACATGTCGGTGGATTTTGATATGAAAGGACAACAGGGAAAATAATTTTTCACTGGATGAAGCATTATTATGGACTTGAATTTTGGCCAGAAGCATCAGTTTAAAGTTAAAACGGCTTAATGACAGATTTGTTTCTTACAAACACGCAGCTTTTTGCTTCACAAGACGTTAATTGATGGACTGGAGTCGTGCGGGTTACTTGTGGATTATTGTGATGTTTTTATCAGCTGTTTGGACTCTCATTCTGACGGCAGCCATTCAAATTCAATGCAGAGGATCCATTGGTGAGCAAGTGATGCTAAATTTCTCCAAATCTGTTCTGATGTAGAAACAAACTCACCTTGGATGGCCGGTGGGGGAGTACATTTTCAACAAATATTCATTTTGGGGTGAACTATTCTTTTAATGTTGTTTTTTTGCACACATTAAATGGTTGAAAAATTGACCTCGGACCTCACAACCATCTTTGATCATATATGTAATGATAGGCAGGTGTCCTCCATCCACAGCCCAGTGGAGCGGCGTGCAGCCGTCCGTGTCTCCGGACTGCCATGTGGAGCCGCAGTTACGCAGATACTTCACTGTGTTCAGGTGACCAGCAAAACAGGCCTGCATTAGACTGATAAAACACATGCATAGATGAAAATATATATTAGAAAACATGAATTATTCTAAAATTCAACTGCATTGAAAAAGCATATGCAGGCTTACCTGTCTTTTCCAGTGCTGTCTCTCTTGTTAATATCAGCTCCATGCTTCACTAAAATGTCCACTAAGCTACAAAACAAACAGATGCTGATCATGATTAGAAATACATGATTATATTTCAACGAATTTACTCTTTACCACATAGCAGTAACTAAACAAAGACTAATGGGAGATTCAGTAGCTTGCTGTGAATTCATCTCTCTGTACACCAGCTTTGTGTTTAAATGAATAACATCGGAAGCATGTTTACCTGGTGAAACCTTTCTGTGCTGCCACCATGAGAGGGGTGAACCCCATTTTGTCATAAACATCCACGTCGACCATTCTAGGAGAGGAATTACATGAGAGGGGTTATGAATAATGTGTGAACTGGCATTTAAGAGGATATTTCACATAAAGATTAACATTTTGTCATCATTAATCACCCTGCACCACAGAAGAAAGAAAGTCAAACAGATTTAGAATGGCATGAGGGTGATTAATAATGACAAAATTTTCATTTTCGGTTGAAATATTCCTTGAATTAACGCACCCTGACTGCAGAACTGTGGTCAGCTCCTCCTCATCCTCCCTGTTCACAGCCTGGTGGAGGTTCTTCCCACTGAAAGGCTCTCCTGTGGACAAACCATCAAAACATTGTAAAACATTAAACAAATGCACTACTATCCAAAGGTTTGGGGTCAGTAAGGTTTTTTAACGCTTTTGAAAGAAGTCTCACTTAGCGAGGCTGTATTTAATTGATCAAAAATACAGTAAAAACTGTAAAATTGTGAAATATTATTACAATTTAAAATAATTATTTTTTTATTTTAAAATGTAATTTATTCCTGTGATGGCAAAGAAGCTATTACTTCAGTCTTCAGTGTCACATGATCCTTCAGAAATCCTTTTAATTTGCTGATTTGCTCAAGAAACATTTCTTATTTTTATCAATGTTGAAAACATTTGTGCTGCTTAATATTTTTCTGCAAACTGTGATAATTTTTTAGGATTCTTTGATGAATATAAATTTCAAAGTACACAATTTATTAGAACTACAAATCTTTTGTAACATTATACATGTCTTTACTGTCACTCTTGATCAATTAAATGCATCTATGCTAAACAAACTTTTTATTTTAAGTATTGTACATTTTGTGCGAATGAATTCCTAAATGTTTGTGTTTCTACCAATAACAGCAGAAAGAAGCATGAGATTTACTAGGTTTAAAATAAGAAAATAAAAGACCAAGACTTTGACTGGAGGTACAGTAAAATATCTCACGGGCGGTGAAGACAGATACCACGGGGCTGAGGCTGCACTCCCATGAGGCTCTGGTGACCCTCAGCCTAAAATTATAGGAGGTGCTGGACTCCAAGCCCTCTACAAGATGATGAGTGCTGTACCCTCTGTGATAAAACACCAAAATATTGTTATTACATGGATTGTTGCTAAAAAAACGGTTTTGAACATGTTGTAATAACTTTAATATTCAAAGAAATTATCTTCACCATCAAACAGAGAAAACTGACATGTATACGGTGCTGTATGTGTGTGTTTTGGGGTCCATCTGCTCCACAGAGAAGCGGGTCCAGCGTTCAGGAGGGTCATTTCGAGGTTTATTCTCTTCATTCATCCAGCTCAGCTCAATACTGTGGTGAGTGACCTTCCCAATCACAAGAGTAAGCTCTGGATATTTTGCTGGAGAAATTGAGAAAATATATGGCAGATTCTCTTAATATCATCATGTATATCGTTTATAAAGTTGTAGGATTAATGTGCATTTTTAGATATATTTAGCCTTGCAGTAATATCCAACACAGTCATACTACTTTTTGTATGCGTGTTTTGACAATAGTTGAAACCTAAACCAATCTATGGTTAATATGCAGTTATCTGATACAGCAGCATCCATGGTATGATCTTGCTATTCAGGTGTGACTTATGGGTAAACTGTAGCCTATTGGTTTCATCTTAATAAAGGTCATGAATATCACATAACAATACACCAAGAATAACTAACCACAAAAGATTGTTCCTGGATTAGTGATTAAGTTAAAAGATTACCCATTACTTTTTAATCACTGTTGCTGGAGAAAACTTTAGCCTTTTTTCTTTTCTCCTAAACAGGTCTGGACACATAACATAATTATCAAAAAATAAATACATTGATTTGTTAAATAATTAATAAAATGCAGCTCTTTATAAGGTTATAAAATATTATATACTGTATATATATATATATATATATATATATATAGTAGCATACTACTTGCATATTAGCATTACTAACGTTACTAGCATATTGTCTGTTTATTAGTACTTATAAAAGTTTCCAAAAGGTTTTAATATTAGTCTTGTTTAACATGAGAGCGATGTATTGTTATTGAGACTGAATCCTTGTTTTACCCTGTAGTCACTTTCATCAATTTGGGCTCTATTGTGATGGGATTAAATGACCACATGACCGCTCAAAATCTCTGTTTGTGCGTCTGAGCGGTGATTCAGTGCGCTAATGACGAGACGTTCGAATCGGTTCTTTTGAACAAATCATTCAAAGAACCGGATCAAAAACGATTTAGTGATTCTTTTACGTCATCACGTGGTCCCTGGCCTGTTAAATGCTTTAAAGGATTTGAAATAAATGTTTTGTTCACAATTTCTAAAATATTTTAGAACTTGCATAACCAGAAGAAAATGTACGCATATCATCATAAAAATTGATTGATGTTTTAAGAATTTATTAGTTTAAATGACTTTTTCAGCTCTAGAAATAACTTTAATAAATAACTTAATTAAAATTTAAATCATTTTAAGTCATCTTGAGGCCCCCTGGACATTCACTGATAGCCAACCCCGCCCACCCACCATTTAATCATTTATTAAAATCAACTCAGTTTCATGTCTTGATAAAGCTGTCAATTCAATCAAAATTTAGTTGTTAACATTTCTGCTATTAAACTAGATTTCTGACCATTTGGCAAATCCTTAATACACTTCAAAAGCTAGCAGCTGATGACTCGAGAGCGACCGGATTCAGTGCAATTTGGGAACGTCTCGGTTCATTAAAAAGATCCGATTCAAAATAATGATTTGTTCACGAATCGGACATCACTAGTGCACTCACTGAGTGGGACAACTGATGTCACAAAGGGTCTGTATCTCCTAAGCGCGGGTTCCTAAAACTCTTCTGGAGGAGGTAACCTGTTTAAGACCATAAATATGTCACATAACTAATAGAGCGTGATTCGGTCGATTTGTTCAGTTTGATTTATTTGTGCAACTGAAGAGAGAAGCGCATTAGTGCAAAGATGGAGATGGAGCTATCAACAGATGTGGAGAAACTATCTGAAACCAGCGAAACTCAAGATATTGATACGGATGATCTGCTAGAGTTAAATCAGTTCGACGGGCTCCCTTTTTCTTCAAGATATTACAAACTATTAAGAGGAAGAAAAGGTCTGCCGGTGTGGGGAGCGAAATGTGAGTTTATGGACAGTTTGATGAGCAGCCAGATTGTGATAGTTACTGGCACAGCTAAAACAGGACAAAGCACTCAGGTGAGTTTATATGTTATAGCCTAGTGTGCTTATCATAAAATTAGGATATTAATTTTATAGCCGTTTAAATAAGTAGGCTATATTAATTTTTTATTTGAACCTCATTCCATGTTCAGGATGAATTAGGGCTGAATTTTGAACTGAACTTCAGTATACTTTTAGAGTGAATTTATTGAATCTTTTATCATTAATCTCAATCTTTTATGCAAAAGATCACATAGTATAGGACAGATGCAACCTATTCATAGTTCATTTATCACTGAAGTACTTATAAAGCACATATTAATGCCTTATTCTGCATGAACATATTTTTGATCCCTTAATTCTACCCCATACCAAAACTTAACAACTACCTTACTATTAATATGCAGCAAATTAGAAGTTTGAGGCAAAAGTCGTAGTTTTTAGTTAATAGTCAGAATTGGTCCTCAAACTAAAGAGTGACCGATATATAAAAAAGGTTTTTGCTTACTGTATTACCATGCTAATCAAATATAAGCGCGGAATAAAGCAACTCTAACAGTAACCTATTCATAGTTCATTTATCACTGAAAGCAAAACTATCTTATTTGTGGGTATTTTATTTCTGAATAGCCTTACAGCATGTGGTTTTCTGTGTTAATCTCCATTTAGATCCCTCAGTGGTGTGCAGAGTTTTGCCTGTCGTGCGCGCGATCTTTGGACCATTTAATTGTTTCTTTTAGTTACACAAAACACGAGTTTCCAAAAGGTTTTAATATTAGTCTTGTTTTAACATGAGAGCGATGTATTGTTATTGAGACTGAATCCTTGTTTTACCCTGTAGTCACTTTCATCAATTTGGGCTCTATTGTGATGGGATTAAATGACCACATGACCGCTCAAAATCTCTGTTTGTGCGTCTGAGCGGTGATTCAGTGCGCTAATGACGAGACGTTCGAATCGGTTCTTTTGAACAAATCATTAAAAGAACCGGATCAAAAACGATTTAGTGTTTCTTTTACGTCATCACGTGGTCCCTGGCATGTTAAATGCTTTAAAGGATTTGAAATAAATGTTTTGTTCACAATTTCTAAAATATTTTAGAACTTGCATAACCAGAAGAAAATGTACGCATATCATCATAAAAATATCCTGATGTTTTAAGAATGAATTTATTGAATCTTTTATCATTAATCTCAATCTTTTATGCAAAAGATCACATAGTATAGGACAGATGCAACCTATTCATAGTTCATTTATCACTGAAAGCAAAACTATCTTATTTGTGGGTATTTTATTTCTGAATAGCCTTACAGCATGTGGTTTTCTGTGTTAATCTCCATTTAGATCCCTCAGTGGTGTGCAGAGTTTTGCCTGTCTGCGCAGTATCAGAACGGCATGGTAGTGTGCACTCAGATTCATCAACAGAGCACGGTGGAACTGGCCCTCCGTGTGGCTGATGAGATGGACGTCAACATCGGCAATGAGGTTGGATACAGCATCCCACTTCAGACCTGCTGCTCCCCTGACACTGTACTGAGGTGTGTATATGATCCCTAGGCATGTAAAGCCTTAAAGCTCTGCACGGCATTATTTGGTCATTTTCCCTGGACCTTTTTTTTCCATTAAATTCTGCAATCTGCCCATCCCCCCTTCATTACCACCACACGTGCATCTTCTTTTCAGGGGCGCCTGTCCATCTAAACAATATAAAAGCTAACAAAAGGCTGAGGGGGCTTGGTCTAGGGGTCTCCACGGCAGCTGCCGTGCTTCCTTACTGCCCATATGCTTCATCAGAGCTTTCAGAGCAGCCATAAGTCAGTCTGGCGAACAAAAGAGCCAGAACAGTGATTAGAACAGCTGAGAGGGTCTGACTTAATGAAAACACTGACAATTCCCAGAGTAAATTATCGTCCAATCACGTCTGCTTGTCTTCGCTTAGCTCGTTATTTTTGTTTGTATTAAATCGATGCTGACTCTTGAAGAAACCTGCAGTGACATCTGTTGCTTTGCAGATACTGCACAGATGATGTGTTGCTCCGGGAAATGATGTCGGACCCCCTCTTGGAGCAGTGTGGCGTGGTGGTCATTGATCAGGCCCAGGAACGCACGGTCAGCACAGACCTGCTCCTCGGGCTGCTCAAAGACGTGCTCCTCGCGCGGGCAGAGCTCAGGCTGGTCATCCTCACCGCCCCTCACTCCGCTGAGAAACTGCTACGTCACTATGGAAGCGTTCCTCAGATCCGGCTGGATGGGCCGCAGCCGTGCGAGGTGGTGTACGGTAGTGGGAGAGGAGGTGTGAAGGATTACCTCTGCTCTGCTCTTAGACTAAATAATGTAGATTATTAATAAAGGCTGTTTTTTTTCCTTTCTTTCTTTCTTTCTTTCTTTCTTTCGTTCTTTCTTTGTAATTTATGTGTCCACATTCAGTTTGTTGCATTTATGATTGAGCTGATTAAACATGAACCTGTAGAACCTAAACACGCTTGAATTCACAACAAACAATTCTATAAATTAATTTACATTCCTTGGTTAAAACATTTGCATGTTTTAATCATTTATTAAAATCAACTCAGTTTCATGTCTTGATAAAGCTGTGGCCGCAGCCGTGCGAGGTGGTGTACGGTAGTGGGAGAGGAGGTGTGAAGGATTACCTCTGCTCTGCTCTTAGACTGGCTCTGGAGATACATCAGAATCAAAAGCATGGAGACATTGTGACATTTCTGGCAACTGAGCAAGTAAGACATTTAAACAATAATATTTTGTTGACATTTTTAAAATATTTATTATTTACAAATCATTTTATTAATGAACAAATAAATGACATTCTTTACATAATATAATATAATATATTTTTTATTAGTAGTATTTTTATTGAAGGAAGAACAGTGACGTATTATTACATACAAAAAGAGTTAACAATGCTCTTCTTGATTTTACAATTTTTCCCCCTTATAATATAATATAATATACATTTATAATGTAATATAATATATTATACTGTTTTTTATTTGTATAATTAATGAGTATTGTTAATATTTCTATTTCCAAAGTAAATTTTGACATTATTTAATTTATTAATACATTAAATATATTTTTTTTATAAGTTGGTATTTTATTATAATTAAATATACCATTTCCTGTGGTTTATGTGGGTAAACAGACATAAAGTACTTTACATATATATTGTATTTTATGTATTAAATAGATACTGATTTGCATTTAAATGTATTAATTATTATGTCATTTTATATATATATATATACAATAATATAATTGTTTCATTTTTTTATAGTGTGTATTTGTATATATGTATATTTTATCCTTTAAAATGTATAACGATTTAATTTCTATATTTATAAATTGAATAATTATTCACTGAATTGATTAATCAATAAAAAATATGTATATAATTATTTATAAATTGATAATTTCCTGTTAGGTGTAAACAGACTCTTAGCTTTCAGAACTCAGTTTTAGTTGTAGTTTTACAGTCTTAACTCAAATTTTATGGGGTTTTTTTGGTAATTTTTTTATTATCATCTCAACCTCTGTGAGCCCAGGCAATAGGCAGATTGTTATTTTAATGGATCCTTAGTTTTATGTCACATAAATTCCAACCTGCCTTCCTTCAGGGAATCTTGCATAGAACAGAAGATGGTCCCATTTCCATGGTAAAAAAAAAACTTCTCTTCTTTTTTTCAAGGAGATTGAATGTGCCCATGCCATTTTGCGGAGAGAGGGTGCCAATCTTGCATTGTCTCATGGCGAGCTGGTTCCTGTGTCTCTGTGCCCTGAGCAAGGACACAGTCCCTCGGTGATCTCTGAGGAGAACAAGAGTAGGAGAGTCTTCCTCACCTGCAGCCCCAGTGAAGACTTGTTCTGGGCCATTCACAGCATTCGCTTTGTGATTGATGCTGGAGTGCAAAAAAGATATGTATGTAGTGATTTTGTTTTTATTTTGAACTTTATAGATACTAGTCCTTATTATGAGCTCTGTGTTATATGCTGTATAGATTATGATTGGTGGACATGAAACGTTGATGTTTTATTGTGACAGGTGTACAATCCTAGAATCAGAGCCAATTCCATTGTCATTCGACCAATCAGCAAGAGCCAAGCTGAGCGCCACAAACAACTTGCAGGCCCAACAGGTGAGCACTTTGTGCTTTCTAAAAAAAAAAATTTTTTTTTAATTCTACACACATGAACATTCGAAGGTTTGGGTTCAGATTTTTTTTTTCTTGAAAGAAATTAATATTTTATTCAGCGAAGACACATTAAATTGATCTAAAGCAGTGGTCACCAACCTTTTTAGGCCCAAGATCCCTGACCTCGGCCTTTAACCGCGTTTCCTTGGTTACCGCTGTAAACAAAGCAGAGTTGCGCTTTATATGGAGAAGAAAATGCCATTGCCATCGAAACTTTTCTCAAGACAGTACCCTTCAGTGATACATTAATATAACCCCATAAATGTAATGCATTTTTGTACTTATTTTACTGTTTTTTTCGGGATCTACTGGGACAGTGATAAAGACCTACCAGTCGATCGCGATCGACGGGTTGGCGACCACTGATCTAAAGTAACAGCAAAGACATTCATAATATTACAAAAAAATTATATTTAAAATAAATGTTGTTCTTTTAAACTTTCAAAGAAAAATGTATCATGTTTTTTCCACAAAAATATTAAGCAACACAACCGTTTTCAACATTGATAATAATTAGAAATGTTTCTTGAGCAGCAAATCAGAATATTGAAGAATAGAGAAATGATGCTGAAAATTCCGCTTTCCCATTACAGGAATAAATAACATTTTATAATGTATTAAAATAGAAAACCGATCTTTTAAATTGTAATAATATGTTACAATATTATTAATTTTACAGAATTTTTGACCAAATAAATGCAGTCTGGGTGAACATAAACAAATATAAAAGTTTCTTAAAATTGTTGGCATGCACTGAATCATATGCCTGAAATGTTTTATTTCGGCAGGCAAGTGTTTCTGTTTGTATCAAGAGGACACATCACTTCCTGCTGAGAGCGTCCCTCATATTCTTGAGTCTGATATCACTTCCACTGTGCTCTTCCTGAAGCGCATGGAAATTGCTGGCCTGAGCCACTGCGACTTCATTGACATACCAGGTAAGATACAATTCTTATACGATATATTAATTCTCTTTAAATTTCAATCAAATCTCTTAAAACACAGCACTATAAGGCACACATACAGTTGCTATGTGGTTACTTCCAAATCAAGAGGATCCATTTAGAAGTAAGTCTCTATATATGGCTTGGGATCCATCTTCAATGTAAATTTAGGTGATTTTTTTGCACCACTAATAAAATATTGGGTAATCTATGTAACTACACTGATTCTAAACAGTGAATGTACTGTATGTATATTTTTTCACATAATGAAGATAATCACATTAAATTATTAATAGAATCTCTCACACGAATCTGAGCAATCCATCTAAAGACAAACAAGTTGTTCACTGTCCACTGTTTACAATAACCAAGCAAAGCTGGGATCATCCAGGTTCTCTTGGCTCACAGTAAGGGTGCAGATGGGCCTGTCCCGCTCACTGCTGGTATTAAGAGGTGGTGAGCCGTGTGTTAGCTGAGCTGACAGCACTCTGACTGGTTTCATTGTTCCAGAGATAACCTGCTTCCATAACACGCACCAGTCAGATGAGCAGCATCATTAGTGGAACTACGACAACAGCATTTCTCTGAAAACAACATGGTGGGATGAACTAGATGAACTTGTTTATCTCATGATGCAAATATGTGAGGCACTTTTGTTATGCCGCAAATTAGTGAGAGTTTGTTGTCTGTTTACTTTCTGCACTGTCAGACCAACAGGCATCTCTATAGGAAAAATGCATTGCAGATCACAATTGATACTCTGTTGATTAATTCCATTAATAATATTAGTTGGTGTTTTTTACAATCACCTATAGCTTTAACGACTCATAATAATATTTTGTTCTTATTTTATTGAAATTAACTAGACTGCTATTTTTTTTTTTAAATCACACAATTCATTTTTAATGGCGTTGATTAACTTTATTTATTTAGGTCAGTTGAGTATTGTTTTAGTATTATTTATATACTTTTATAGTATTTATTAACATTTTGAATTAACATTTATTTTTGTATTTTCAGGTTTCATTTTAATTTTTGTTTAAGTTTTAGTTTGGTATGTGCTTTCGTAACTTTATTAGTTTTTTATTTCTATTTATCTTTATTTTATTTTATTTTATTTTTCAGTTTTAGTATAGTATTTCAACTGAAAATTATTTTATTACAGTTAGTTGTCAAGGCAGTTGACATTCATTTTAATACAGTAGGCTTTAGTTTTAATTAACAATAGCAAAACTGGGTCAGTTTATTTTAATTAGCCAATCAATCTTTAAAACCGTCTCTGGTGACGGACGAGAAACCTCAGATCTGAGAGAGACACAAATCTGCAATTACCAACAAACGCAAACGGCTTTTAAGGGATTCCTGGAAATGTACACAAAGCGGCTCCAGAAAGAATCTGTTCACTTGAAAAAGTCTGGATGTGATATATATATATATATATATATATATTATTATATTTAATTATATTATTTTTCTATAATAGATTAATAGCAAACTTGGAAAACTGTTATTCATATTTTCAAAAACATATGAAATATTTTGTTCACTCTTACAATAGATCCAGAAGGCCTGATGCAAGCTTTAGAGGAACTTGACTATCTTGCTGCTTTGGATGATGACGGAAATCTGTCCGAGATTGGAATTATCATGTCAGAGTTTCCTCTGGAGCCACAGATGGCTAAGACTTTGCTTGCGTCTTGCGAATTTGACTGTGTGAGCGAAGTGCTGACCATCGCTGCCATGCTAACAGGTAATCCCGTCTCAGTACAATCCACTCAACAGCTGTACCACCATGTGCCTGCGTTTCCATTATGTCTGTGCTCCATTCAGTTATATTTGGAACTCATGTCAACTCACAGTTGTTGGACCTTCAATTTAAATATAAAATAAAATATTATTTTTATTATTAAAAAATATTATTATCATTATTAAAAATATATTTACAAATACATGTATGATTGATAATAAAGCTTTTTCTCTTTTTTATTTAGCTCCGAGCAGTTTCCTTACACCCCCAGTGGAACTGAGACAGAAGGCCTTACTGTGTCATCAGAGGTTCCAGCATGCAGAGGGAGACCACTTCACCCTTATTAACATCTTTAATGCTTACAAATATGTTAAGGAAGGGACATGTGAGTGATTTTTGTGCATTAAAGCAATTAATTGAAGCCACCTAAGTCTATAATCCACGTGCATATCCATTAACAGCCATTACTGTGAATTAAACAAGACAGTAAACAGTAGCTGACTAACAAAATCTATCAATTGTAATATATAAAGTGTTGAATTCGCATTCACATGTGTATTTCAGACTCGAATGTGGAACGATGGTGTGAAGACCATTTCCTCCGTCTGTCTGCTCTTCAGACAGCGGATGCGATACGCTCTGAGCTAACAGAAATCCTGAAACGGCTCGAGCTGCCAGTGTCTTTACCTGCCTTTGGCTCTAAAAGCAACAGCCTGAACATCAAACATGCCCTACTAGCTGGCTTCTTCATGCAGGTATGGACATATCATATACAAAATGAAACACTTTTGAAAATTGTAATATATTGTTGTGATTTGTACTAGAGCAACTCTTTAATGTTCAAAGGTCAGAGTCTCTCTAAAACTGAACTAGAAAGAGGACAAATCTCTTTCCAAAGTGCACTGTGTTAATGCACAACCGTGGAAATGGGTGCACTAATTCTCTCTCAAATAATTGCACTGGCGCAGTAACGTCTGTGATGAAGACAGATTAGTAAACGGCACAGTGGTGTTACAAATTTAGTGTGTTCAGTGTGCTGTTCTAATGCATTTTCCGTTGTTTAATCTCTGTGGGGTTTTCCAGGTGGCGAGGGACATTGACGGGTCAGGGAATTACTTCATGCTGACCCATAAACATGTGGCTCAGATCCACCCGCTGTCTGGCTACGGAACCGAGATGCACAAGAAGAACCTGCCAGAATGGCTTCTGTACCATGAGCACACACTTTCAGAGAACAACTGTATCAGAACCGTCTCTCAGATCTCAGCACATGAGTACGTACTGGATCATCTGCTTTGTCTAGAACTAAACCACAGAATTAATACTCACAATGAAAACATCTCCAGCTGTATTTGTTTCAGAAAGTGACTTCATTATTCTGCTTTGTTCATTCCACTTGAATAATTCCCAAAGACAAAAGCTCCATACTGACTAGGGCTGTCAAAATGGCTGAAAAACTAAATTCGAATTTTGTACTTAAATATGATCAAAATTCGAATTATATTCTAATTTAAAATGCATAATTTCAGTTAGGGTAAAGAAAAGCTTTTGGCTTCTCTTCTGAGGCCACAAGTGGGCACATCGAGCAAAATATTACTTACGCTTAAACAACTATAAAAAAACAGCATCATGTATGTATGCATAGTTTAATACAAAGGACGGAAAGCCAATCACACGGAGTACATTTTTCATTTAAAAACATGAGATGCAGTGGGATGGGGAAAAAACCCTGCCATAAAGTCTGGATATATGTTTTTTTTCCAAAGTTAAACTTGCATTAATTTTACATGGCCTCCTAAACATGCGGCTCCTTTGTCTGAGATGCGAGTGCAACGGTGATAGATGGGCGAAATATGTGTTCTGTGTGAACAGCTTGGTTTCAGTTTTGATGTAAACAAGATCTTCTCCGCATTGATGTTCTCTTTTTCCGCAATGTTTTGAATGAACAACGCAGCAGCGCCGCATCTAGTGGGTTCAACTGGATAGGCTAACAAAAACATTATAATGCAACGACACTTACATCGTCATCGCATCTCGTGCTCCAGTGATAAGGCTGCCTCTTTAACACACTTAAAATTCAAATTCAACGTTTTTGCATTCGAATGTGGATTTTTATTTTAAATTCAACGAATATTCGAAATTCGATTTTTTTTTTGACAGCCCTAATACTGACTGAACAATTACAGTACTTGGCAGTAGTTTATCTGCTTGTGATAGAGCAAATGTATCTTGTGATAAAACCACTATTTTATGAGGTGCCGATTTCATATGAATTTGTACAATTTGATTTGTATGAAAGCATACGATTTTTAGAATAAAAATAAGAAGGTCCACCCCTAAACCTAGCCATCAGTGGGGAGTAAGCAGATTGAACAAAAACGTACGAATGAGATCATATTAATTCCTATGAAATAGCCACTTCTTCACCACAATGTATAACAGTTATGAATTTCCATGAGAGACGAGAGAAGTTTAGAAGTGTCTCCTTTATTAATCGTGTCACATTGCTAGAGGTTTTAAATGCATTGTTTTAGAATTACAAATGTATTATCGTTTGAAAGTATATAATTGAAATAAAAAATAAAGATTTTATGTTTGTGAAATAAAATATTTAAAAAACATAAATATCATAATCAATAAAAAAACATAAAATACATAAAACATGCACTTATTATTATACTTTGTTTATATAAAATATTCATGATTTATTTCTACAATTATCTATTTTTTATATCTTCCTTTCCTCTTTTAGCACCTATCAATTATTTTTATCTATTGTAATTGTAAATGACCAGTCATTAATAATGTCTTGGCAATAATTTAGTTTAGCTTACAGTCTTTTATAATTAAATTATTTTGTTTCATTTAAAATTTATTTCTGAAGCTTTAACCCTCCTTTTTATTTAAGGCTAGCAAGCCATTTACTCTTTTTCTTTCAACCATTTAAACAATTTGTTCTTCTGTGCTTCGTAATCATATGGTTTCTTTTGCTGTTTGCTTGTGACAGGTTCATTCAGATGGCGCCGCAGTACTTCTTCTACAACCTGCCACCTAGCGAGAGTAAAGACCTACTGCAGCACATTATCGATCACGGTCCAGCTGCCCCATCTAAAGGCAAAAGAAAATCCCAGACCCCCAGCAGCCCTGCCAGTGAAGAGCAGAGCCATGAGCGCTGTACCATACAATGACTGAGGAAATAGAATGCCTCGCCACGTTCTTACCATGACAACAAACAACAGGATGCTTACACTGCTGGTCTGTTACACAGTAACCATGGAATTTCTGAGACACGACCAGGAATCCAAATTAGTTTGACTGATTAATCAATAATGATGAAAAGAAAAGATGTAATCTGTTGCTTAAATTCAAAGGGCAGGGGGAAAAACATTTAGTGTGCCCCCCTTTTCACAGTGCTCGGGACAATGCTTCTAAGTAACAGCAGTTTGTACAGTTTGTCTTCTCTCTGCTGAATTAATAGCAATTTAAATAACCTACTGCTGTGCAGTAGTTAATGAATAAACTGTCGTTGACTTTATGGTGTCTAAAATGTGCTTTTTAAACTGTAGCTACTAGTTAGCATTTTAAATAATATATAAAAAATAGAATGTGATTTAGCCATGTGCATCATAGTATCATTGGACATTAATTTAATTTTTGCATTGATTGTGCTTCCCATTGGCTAGTGAATAGTGTTGTTGTTTTTTTTATTATTATTATTGTATATGTATTTATTTGCAAGGTATTTGTTCAGCTAATATAATATTTTTTATTATTATTATTAATCTCAAATTCACTGTGATAGTTTGCATAAAATAAGACATTTAAACGTGTATTTGACTTTTTTTGGAAGTGGTCGTTCTTTTTTGCCAAGTTTTTTTTTTTCCCCCAAACTTCTTAAACTGAATAAAGTACAAAAATGTTCTGAAATTATCTAGAACTTAATTCATCATATCTATTGTTACATAGTGTACACTTGCCAAATATCACTGCAACTTTAGATTCTGATAATATTCATTCATGTTTCACATCACATTGAACACTTAAGACGAAAATCAAGGGTGTCATTTTAAAACATGAGCAGAAAATGATGACTGTTTTTATTTAGACGCTTCCTGTGGTGAATGCGTTAAAGTCACACGTTAAGGTTTTATGATGATGTTGAAAATTGATGTATGATGTAGATTTACATTTGATTCAATAAAAGCCACAGGCTTGTATCACTGTTTTAATGTTTTAATTGATTTTTTAATGTTTTAGTGTGTTGTGAGAAACAGCCATTCTTGCAATGTATCGTCACGCAGCTGTTCTAACTACAGATCCAGTTCACTCATATTATTATGACAGATGGCAGAGGTGGACGCGACGCTTGCAGTTTGTAAACAAAGGTTTTGATTGGTCAAATGAATGCCGACGTCATCCACAACACTGGCAGACGCGTCGCGTACTTGCTTTTCGCTGGTTATGAGAGCCATGTACTGTAGTTTTTCGTTGCGTCGCTGTTTGCAACAAATGCGGTATTAAATCTAATAATACAAAAAGAAGACTTTACGGATGTAAGATGTTTTTGCGTGTTATTTTTTTCTGAAATGTCTTTTATCGTTATTTTATATTATCAGCTACTCAACTAGTCTGTCAGCGCTTGTAGGGTTGTGGAAATTGGCATATTTCACAACGATGGCGTGAAAATGTTTCATCTGAAAGATGGGCATATCAAAAAGCAGAATGAAAAAAGTCGCACCTGTGTCAGTGACAGAGGAAACCGTCTGTACTAGCAGCGGCATTCACCGGGATGAAAGTCAGTTATTTGGTCCCTCAAACACTAAAGCTTCAGATCTGCGTGTGTCAACCAGAAGGAGAGCCCAGGCAGACTGTAACAGTGAGGGGCAGGACTCTGAGTTTTCAGCTGACGATCTCGCTGAGGAAGCGGACAGAATCCTCGCTGAGTGTGCCAACACTGATATATCACTGAACAGGACTTCTTATAAGATGCCAATGTTTGGATCGAAGTCTTTAGGGCTTTACTACTACGCCAAAGGCCAAGACTGCAACAACGTTTACAGTGGCAGCACACGTGACAACAATGAAATTAACACAGTGAACATAACAACTTCCATTCGTGAAAAGGTAGAACTACTATTTTTTTTTAAAGTTTTTAAAGTTTTCCCATTAAAATGCTATGGCTTCTTCTTTTGACAATGACAATGGCAATAAATTATTAATAGAAACTATTAAAGCCATTAAGTAAGGAATACCTATGTATTTCCTGGCTTTCTGAACAGGTCAGGCCTCCACAGGACCTGCTAAACTGTGCCAACATGGAGAGCACAGCAACAGCTTCGTAAGTGTATTCCATCAATTATTGATCTGAACTTAGTGACACACATCATTTCCACTGAAAGAAGTTAGCTTGTGTCCAGTGCCATGCTTGGTAGAGAGTACTGGTCTGTAATGTTAATTAAAAAGAAAAATAAATATTTATGCATTTTACTTGTATATGTTGTACAATATATTTTATCATTTGGTGAATTTAGATGTCTACTAAAAAGGAAAATCCCTGCATTAACTGTGAAATCCTCTCTTTTTATTTTTAGAGGTTAAATAAAATAAAAAATAAATATTGATGATGTGGTAACACTTTAGAAAAGGTCCCATTAGTTAATGTTGGTTAATGCATAATGCATCTTTGTTAACATTAGTTAACAAAAACACAAATATTCACTGTTAGTTCATGTTAGCTCTATTAAATAACATTAACAGACACAACTTCTGATTTTAATAATGCATTAGTAAATTTTGGAATTAACATTAAATAAGTTTTAGTTCATTGTTAGTTCATGTTAACTAATATTAACAAATGTAAGCTTATTGTAAAGTATATTTTACACACACGTATAATTTGATGACTTTAGATCTCTATTGAAAATGAAAAAGCACTATTGACATATTTTACTTGTATATTTTACAATACTTTTTTATCATTTGATTTTAGATGTCTAATGAATAGCAAAACCCCTTTATTAACCATAAAAATCCTCTTTTTGTTATTTAGAGGTTCTGGAATTGGTAGTGTTTCATCTGTGGCCTTGCCTATCATGTATGATGCTTCAGAAGAGGACCTCATGAACATAATCGAGAGGGAGTTTGGATCACAACCACAATGATCTTCTGAGACAACAAAGAAAAAGAGAAAATATGTATGAGAAGGATTATTGATAAATCACCAAAAAGTATTATGGATCATTTTTATATTACCCACTGATGTTTTGGCATGAAATTTTAGATTTTAAGACACATATACAGGCCTGCCTAAAGTGATTTCATTTACAGCTGAGTCCATGCTATCAGGAAGGCTGCTATAGAAGCCTGTAATTCTTTGAGAGATTGTATATGCCTTATGGTTCAGGATGGAGTTTATTCAGTTGATTAAGTCATTAGGAATAAAAAAGGAAAGGAATAAAAAATATACTTTGCTTCTGACATTTTTTAAAGAATAATATTCTGTAAAGCAGCTTGCCTGAGAGAAAAACATATGGAGTGGATAATTTAGTTCCATTTCCTGACCACATTTCCAAAATCCTCCACCCGTCTAAGACAGGAATGCACATCAGCAGTTTCAGTGGCTCCATGGAGGCCCCCTAACTGCCCTAAACTTCCCTGATGTATGTTCACCAGATTGAATAGCCTCCAAAATGCTGAATACAATTTCTTTTAAGGCACACAATGAAAATCATGCATATACTGGTAATGCATTTTACCTTTGGAAATAATCTGGCGATGTGTAGCTTTCATTAAAATAATTTGGTTCATTTTAGATAGACCCTATAAGTAGCAATAATAACAACATAAAAACTAAATTTAATTCATGTCTGTTAAAAAATAGTTCGTTTTGTCAACACCGAAAGCTGTCTATATCGTATCTTCTTTCTTTCTGAAAATTTAGTAGGATGGAGACGAAAATCGGCATGAAGACAGTCTCCTTACTAGACTTGTCACTATGTTTAAAAATATTTGATGTTATTCTTGTATTGAGTGATAAGCAAATTACCCAACAGGACAAAGGTAAATATGGCCTATCATTTAAATTATAAATATGGCCTATCATTTAATTTTATATGCCTTCATACGCATTCCAGATAAAGAAAAAAGACATTAAGCTATTAACCACACGGTGTCGCTGTTGCTGCATTATTGGATAGTTGATTAAACGCTCATGGTTGGAGAAAGTCGGTCAGTAAGGCAGGAGGCGGGGCACGGTTCTGAAAGCTGATTGGTCGCGCCTCCACATCCACAGTTTGTCTTGTAATCTGATTGGTCCTCGTTTAAACACAGTAGTCGAGTGCGCCGCTGCATATTTTCCATTAAAAAACGTGACAGTGGTCTGAGCAATAGTTATAGACATCCGGTCTCAATCTCTGAGGGAACATTAATATTACTGGAAAGCACACGATTTATTTCCTGCTTGTGGTAAGCAATAACGCACAAAAACAACAATTTTTTTTTGTGTGGTAATTTCACAATGTCCTTTCCAAAACTAACAGGCCTACACTAACGTTACAGGTTGTTTTTCCACATCGATAGAGCTTTTCGTCTGGATTCTTTTAAATTAATTTGGCACATTTGTACTGACCTAAATGTTGCTGATGGTAAACAAAATGACTGGTATCAACTTGTATCACACCATCCCAAAACCACAGAGGAGTTGTTGAATTTTTCTATTGCCACAGATTTCAGCTCTTTAGTGCTTAAGAAAATGACAAAAACACACTTAATCGTCATAGTTTAATTAAAAAAAAGGGGTATTAAATAAAAGTATTATATGATAATCACAGTGTAGATAATTATCCACATATACATTTTTACATATTTTCCTTTTTCTAATTTTGTGTAGTTTAGCATTCATTTCCACTAGATATGTACATATAAATGTATACAAAAACAAAGAAAAAGGAAGAAATTTTAAGACAAACATAGTACAAAAACTTTGGCAAAAGAGTGCATAAATCTTTTACACAATAGTAAACAAAATTTTCCATTGCAGAGTGCGAAATATGTGCAGCAAAGAAGACAGGAGTCCAGTGCATAATCACGTTTTGCCTATGAGAGAATCAGCAGCCTTGCCCTCATAAAGTGAGTCCCTGCATAACATCAGTGAGAGTCCAGAGTTCAGTCTCAAAGAAAGTCAGTTCGAGGCTGGCAGCAACATGCTGACCGGTAGTGCTGTGCCAGTGGGCAAGGCCTTGGCAGCAGTGATCTGGTTGAGGTTCCGCACCTCTGTTTGCCAGGATGGGATCTTCTTGGTGGTCATGTGTCGCCGTGCGTGCTTGGTGAGGTGGTCGCTGCGCATAAACCGTCGGTCACACACCGGACAGACAAACTTCTTCTCACCCGTGTGTGTTCGCCGATGCCGGGAGAGCTCGTCGGATCGAGCAAATTTCTTATCGCATCCTTCCCAGTTGCAACTAAATGGTTTCTCTCCTGAAAGACAGAAGACTTGTTAGATGACCTACTTAACCTAGACATTAGAACATTACATTACATAGTCTTATATATGCTAAACATTATTTACCTGTGTGGGTTCTGAGATGCGCCTTTAGGTGAGAACTTTTGAAATAGGTCTTCCGACAGCCTGGGAAATTGCAGACGTAGTTGCGCCTGCGGGAAAAGTCGACCTGTGTGGCGCTGCTCTGTCCCGAAGGCACGTATACAGGTGCGGGAGCCAGAGGCAGGAGCTTAGTGTTGCCTAGGGTCATAACAGTCTGTTGGCACTGTTGAGCCGAAGACACCGGTGACTGCGGCACCACGAACATCACCGTCCCCTGAGGCACTGGCGAGCCCATCAGGAGCGGCTGTGGTAAGATAGACTTCACCCCAGGGCTGGGCTTCTGAATAAACGTGGCTGAGATGATTCCAGGTTGGGCCACCGGGAACATTTGGCATATGATTGGCGGACTGGAGGTTGGGGGCGGCGACTGAGGAGATAATGTAATGGAGGGCTTATCAGCCTTAGAAGGCAGTTTGCTGCTGTTTTGGCACGTGCCTCCTGTAGGGGTTTCGGTCTCGGGTTGGCGGGACGAAGGAACTTTCTCAGTCTTTTGTGGGTGGACAGCTTGTGGAATGTTCTGATATAAAGAGCTGTCGGCTGTGTGGCGTATTACGCTGGTTGCCATTGCCCTGCAAGGTGGGGGTGTGGTCTTTTCTGTGGGGTGCCCAGAAGAGGGCATCTGTGTGATGGAGGCCATGGTAGGGCATGCAGATCTCGGACTGGGGAGGCTGGGACAGGGCCGAGCCAGCGGGGAGGTGGGGGCTGGCACTGATGTGGTGCTGGAGGTGTCGGTAAAGCTGGGGCTGTGTGGTGGGGTCATGCACTGCAAGGAGAGAAGACAATCGGAGTTAAGCGGTGCACAAAATATTGGTACTATATTGTTAACTGCCGATATTAGAGATTTTTCTATTTAGCGTTATCAATATTGGACATATATAGACCAATATTGTATTTTACTTTATTTAATTGTGCATGCAATTCATTACTTTTTTCACATTTTTATAAATATTTTGCTGTCATCTAACACTCACATAAAGTTAATCTTTAAAAGCACTAATAATTTAATACTATTGTTAAATGTATTCTTGATTTCTAGGGATGCACCAATAAAAAGGCCAATAATGGTAAGCAGATTTTTATCTTTATGTTACGGCCGATAACCGATAAATGGAAAGTAAGTAAAGTAAAGTAAGTAAATTAAAAAATAAAACTAAAATCAAACTTAAATTTTCACAAATTATAAACATTCTAATGTACAGCATGAAAAAAAAATTTAATTTTGAGATTTGTATATTTAATTGTGCATGCTAATTTTCTGTTTATATTTAGAATTGATAAAATTTTTAATACTGTACATTATAATGTTGTGATGTCAAATTCATATAAATTTGGTTTTAGTGTTTTATCTTTAATTTAATTAACTTTTTTATTTGTAAAGTATAGAAATATTGGCTATTCACCACAATTATCGGCTTATCGGTATCAGACATTTTAATCCCTAAAAATCAATCTCTTTGCCAAACAACTAAATCTCCTTGTGGAATTTTTTTATGGATGATTGGCTTCTCTTTTCAGTAATATCATAGCTGTACTATTTTGTCTGTTCATCTCTCAGCATCATTATGGCACAGGGGATTCGTGTAATCACAGTGAAGGAGCCTGTGCTGAAGTTCAGTTGCAGATGTAGCTTATCTCAAGACTGCCACCTGTCCAGTGTGTCATAAAACCCTCCCAAAGTTTTCAGCAAACAAATCAGGTTCTGATAAGAGCTTTGTGCTACACCATGTGGCGCCAGAGGACCGTGAGGTTCCCCGGAGTGAATGTTGACAAATTAAACTTGAAGTGTACATATTTTACCTTCTAGCAGATAATTCCAACCAAAGAAGACTTACCAGTGAAGAGAGTGAGACAAAGTCCTTCGGGGTCTCTGGCGGTTCAGGCTGCAGGAGAGAATCGCAGGAGTCTGACGCTGGTGTGAGAGGGCGAGGTTTGAAGGCATTGGGTTTTGGAGACATCTGACTCCAGAAGCTCATATAGACCAGAGCTTCAGCAGCCTCAAGATCGTTGTATTCCAGAACACTGCACGAAGAGTGCTCACTGTGCTTTTTCCCTTCCAGAAAATCCTCACAGACCTCCATCCGAGCTCCCTGAGAAGAACCACAAGAAGACAACCAAACGAATGTAACGTAATGCGTTACAGGCGAAAGTAAGCCCTCTGGTTGTTTTGACACATACAGCTCAGCTGCTGAGTGGATCTGAATGAGTCTTTCTCTGTCTTTATCTATTCATGGATCCAGAAGCAGTATGACAGTTTAACAGAGGAGCCCTTTTTAACACAGCCCGTCTGGAGAGACCCTCTATCACTAGACTGAAGTCACCTCCCACTGCCAAATAAAGCCAAAACAATGACGAGCTCACAAGCTGCCCATGTGAAACGGCTGTGAGCAAAACTTGAAACCCCCTGACAGACACGGGAACAGCCAGAGGCCGGAAAACGTTGACTGAATTCAAGCCCCTCCCATCCGCTGCTCTTCAGAAAAATAACACTATTAGCCAGCAGCATCAATGTGTTTTTTTTTTTTTTTAAAGCAGGGTTAACAAGTTGCTGTACACTTGATTGACTTCTGTGAGCAGTATGGTCATCTCAACCAGCCTCAATTCTTTACGTAATACATACAATGCACTGGTGGGATATTCAGTGGGATCCAAAAGACAACTTGTCTTCTGCATTTTCATAATTGTAAATAAGAATTACAGATCAGTGTGGTTTGGACAGCACTGAATGCCAAATATTCAAATACCATACTTGGATATATACCAAAATATTACACTAGAATTCTGATGTAAACATAAATTAACAACAAAGGCGGCTAAGAAAAAACGCAAGAAAAGTAAAAGGTATATTTACACAGACGGGTATACACATAAAAATATAAAGGGAAGACACAATTAAAATGTTAAACAATGATTACTTTCTTGCAGACGACGAATTGAGGGTTAAATGAGGCTAACAGGAATAACGGTGCCCGCTGAAACGGAATGTTTGTATACTACAAAAGAGCCTTGTTTATTATCACAGGGCAAGTCAACTCAAGACGTAGGTGGTGATAGATGCATGTATTCATTACTTCACAATGTTTAGATACATTGTAACATTTCGTGATGCTGAGATAAATAGTTACTATGTAACATTAAGTGAGAGTTGACGTCATGCGTTTCAGTTCCATTACCAGTTAAACACAATCAGCAATAACCTGCCAGTGTCAGTAAATCATAAAATAATGTATATGACATAAATATAAATATTGTATAATTAAATATTCCGGGCTTACCCCACATATTTCTTCCATGTTAGAAAACTGACGTGTTGACATCTGCTCAAAACGTATGAAAAATAACTAAATGAAAAGTAGAGCAGAACAAAGACACGGAGCTGCTTCGCCCGTTCAGTGGCGCGACTCGCACCGGAATTCAGTTCGCCTTTACCAGCAGCTGAGTAAAACAAGCCCCAGAAAAAAAAAGAAAAAAAAATTCACAACAGTTTGACGGGTGGCAACCCGCCACCAATGAAAAACAAATGTGTGTGAGACCTTGACCAATGGTGTGAAGGCCGACGCGTGATCAGTGCGTGATAGGCGCGCGATTGGCGGAGCGGGGGTGCGTGGCTCCGGTGGGCGTGTGGAGGCAGTCAGCAGTGTCACTGTAAACTCTATGAACTGAGAGTCCGGATCTGGGAGAAAGGTCGCAGGCTTTAGGAGCCGTGTAGTAGTGAAACATGCTTGTTTGTCTGGTCAACTTAAACATGTAAGGGCAATACACAAAGCACGAGGAGCAGAATTGCAGACGCGAAGAAGCAATATCAGGCTTACAACCAATCTATTAATGCATTAAATTCATCGTTTTAATAGTGATTAATGCTTACGGATCCATTACAAATGAGGATGAGTGGATTAGTGGTTTAACCATCAAGGAAGAAGAATTAAAATATTTTCGTGCCCCTTAAATGCATGCAGTAATAATAATAAAAGGCCTAATAATAATAATATTAAAAAAAAATCATTTAATTTCAAACCAATGTGTTTTTATGGTTACTCCAAAAGGCAAACTATGTGCTATTTTTAACTCATTTACTTTTGACACATACCTGCAGGGTGTAAAGGGGGTCATCTTTGTTTTTTGGTTTTCTGTTACACGACAACAAAATGTTTCCTGCTCTTTTAGCTTTTTAATTTTAATGAATATTTGTACGATCTCCAGTTTGCCCTTTTAATGTATTTTTGAACAACTTAATGAATAATTTACTCTTATAACATGATTGCACACAGATGTGAAAGTGCAAATGTGAACAATGAAGTTCCAAGACCTTCCAGATGCTTAACTGAACATAAATAAATACAAACATGCATACATAAAATTTTTGTAGAGATTGTATTTGCAAAAAAAAAATCATATTTACAATGTAGCCTATTAATTTAAAGTATTTCAAATTAACATTATTAAAGCGATTTTATTAATTTCCAGGTTTCCAGCATTCACATTTCCTGTTGCGATGTAATAGATTGTATTCAAATCACAACACTTTAGGCCCAGGATAGTTTGAATGTTTACCCTCTATATAGTTTAGTCATTATGCAATGACACTTAAACATAAAAAGAGCAACAACTCTTATGATACTGTGCTAGTACAATATAAACCATCTTACCTCAATCGCTGGTCTGATTTGAACCCAGTTAAGGGCCTTTAGGTGGATGTAACCATCTCTGTGTATGATAATGTGTCAAGTCTTTCTGTCTTGCCTGAATTTAGTAGTATTTAAGTCACACCCTCTCTGTGAGGATGGGGTGACAGTAACTCATTCGTCTGCCTTCAGAAGCAGTGACATTTAAGTGAGTCGATGTTAAATGAAGTCATCCTGGAAAATGTCAGGACGTTCTGATCATGGTCCCTGCAGGTGACAGACGATGCTGTAAAAGTGCCGTAGATGAGGCTGCTCTTTGAAAGGAAAATCTGTTCAGGGAATGTCTTTTTCAGTCCCTGCTACGAATACACACTGATACCGACAGACTGAGCATGGAAGTCAGACTTCCAAGTATTTTATCTCAGTCATTTTATAATTTGAAAACTTACATTATGCATGAGTCTTTGAAGAGAATTTCCCTAAAATGGGAGAAATTAATGGGAAAATATGTTATAATGATTTCTACACCCCTAAATTGCATTATTAAAGCCAGTGAACTATTAATTAAATGGTATATTCAAATACTGAAGCAGCATGAAGGTGGTTGGAAAGCATTCTCATAACATTTGAACCTGTGTGACAGAATTTTATGACTGAAGTTTAATGAATAAATTGTTTAACACAGCAATATATAAATTGACCCTAATAAAATAGATAGGCTAATGTTTGGCACGTATAGATATATTAGGATTAAAATGGGTAGGAAACCAAAATGTATGATGTTTAACTTTATAATATAAATATAAAATATACATTTATACTGTATATCATTTAGCATTTCAGTGATTTATTAAAATTCTCATTAAAATTATTTCAAAAATCAATACTATGGGTGAACAATAGATGCCCCATAAGTAACATCTCAGACAGAAGCAGTTCAAGAAATATAGAATCTTATTATTTGTTTATTTTAATCATTTCAATTTAGTTTATATGGATGAGACATTTGTTGGGACAAAACAAAATGTGCTGCATTGTTATGTGTTATGCCTGTTAAATAAACAAATAAATCACAACCATTATTATTTGAAACTTTTGATTGAGCACTAATATTTTAATATAATTTTCATTTCTGAAATACAGTGGTGGCTAAAATTATTAGAACACTAGTATTTTCACTAGCTAAAAATGGTTTTAAGTCAGTTATTATTTTTTTATCTTTTGCTGTAGTGTCAGTTGGAAATATCACTTTACATTTCCAAACATTCATTTTGCCATTAATTGTAATAATCAAGTGAGATTTTTGTTTGCACAAGGAGTCTGACAACAGCCAGAGATCTGATCTCATCATCATCCAGTCTGTCTGGAATGACATGAAGAAACAGAACAAACTGAGACAGACTAAATCCAGAAGAACTGTGGCAACGTCTCCCAGTTGCTTCAAGAAACCTACCTGTAAAGCTACAGTACTGTTAAAAGTTTTGTGTAAAAATGCTGTAAAATATATGCTGTCAAAAATAATGTCATAAATAGATTTTCTTTATCAATTAACTTCTATTAACTAAATTAAATCAACATTTGGTGTGACCATCCTTTGTGTTAAAAGCAGCTTTTGCCCTACTTGCTCATAGTTTTTCAGGTAGCTTTGCAGGTGTAACGGAGGCCAGCAAGTAGGTGCTGTGCAGGTAAAACACTGGCGGCTGCAGTCTTTAGCCTCCTTGTCAGTGCGTCCGCCTCCCATGCTGGAGACCAGGGTTCGAGACCCACCCGGAACAAGAATGAGGTGTGGCGGTGAGGACCCGGGAGAGAGGGTTTACATTGGTGCCGTGACCCGGATGGGAGTGAGGTTTAGGGGGGGTGAGTGTAACGGAGGCCAGCAAGTAGGTGCTGTGCAGGTAAAACCTGGGACCCGGGAGAGAGGGGTTACATAGGCAGGTCTCTTGAAGCATCTTGGAGACGTTGCAACAGTTCTTCTAGATCTGTCTCAGTTTGTTCTGTTTCTTCATGTCATTCATGTTGGGAACAACTGCTGTAATCAATTAAATTTGTCAAATCATTACAAATGCAATAAGAATACATGAAAATATAATTTAGTAGCTGACTGTCTTGCTACAGCTGCTTTATAGCAGAATTCAGATTTGCCTCATTTTTTAAGTTTGCATCGATTCAGTCATTCTGTTACTTTCTATTTGCTGTTTCAAAGCTGCTTTGAAACAGTCATAGTGTATAAAGCACTTTAAAAATAAAGGTAAAAAATCCTCCTCAACTGGCAATCTAGGACGTAAGGCCACATGTCAGTTTGTCTGCTGGTGTGCACTTATGAAAGCAGCATGTTCAGCGGCAGCAGGACGGCCGAGTGCATCACGTAAGCTCAGGCGGTCTGTGCTCTAGTGAGGATCGTGTTCTGCCAACAGCGAGCAGCGTGTGGGAAGTGTAGGAGTTATGTTAGGAGCGGGAGGAATGTTTGTGATATAAGTGGGCCAGACTGAGAGCGAAAGGAAGGAAACTAGAGGAAAGGTTATGCTATTCGCATCACCCCTTTCCCACCCCGTCCCAAACCTCCCAGCACCCGACACCAGTTCTCACATAACGGCTTCAGTCCAGAGAAGAGCGTGGGTCAGTTATTTTAAGAGGTGCTGAAAATACTACTGTGCTTGTGGCGTTGTTGTATTATGCATACAATTTGGTCTCATATTTGTGAATCTTTCCGTATACAACGTGGCATAATGTTTTTAGTTTTATTTTTCTATACTACATACTTTACTACATTACTTCCATCTTTCTATTATTTAGATCTTAAGACCTAAGCTGAGGTTCTTAGACCGTAAGCAGTTGTCATTAAAAGGTATTGGCTGCATGAGTGTGTGTGTGTGTGTGTGTGTGTGTGTTTTGGCAGCACTTATGGGCAATTCAGATGCATGTAGATCTCAACAACAGGCTGATCAACAGAAACTCCTCACTTGCTTCACTACAGTGGGTGTGTATCTGGGTGAAAGGGCAACGTTTGGAACAGAACGTCATTTTTGTTTTAAAACAGATCCTGTTCTGTGGTATGTGAGGTGCTGAGTGGCACATTTGACAAAGTCATGTGTAGAGACTTGTACGTGACCTGTAGATGGTTACAATGACAAAGCAAGTTATACTTTAAAATTAAAGTTATTGCATGTAACATAGATGCATTATACATTTTATACACAATAGAGCATAATTAATTGAGTCCTGATGAACCAGACAAACCTGTCAGTGGTCAAATTAAGTCTCATTCACAGCCTTCCAGGCTATACTGATCATCTGATGTATGGTTCGTCACTGTACTTTCCAGTATTTTCCCTTTGCTAGATTTGCGAGTATGAATAATGTTTTTTTTTAAATGATTTTAATCTTCAGACTGTTCTCAGTAGATTTCTGGTAGATGGAGGTGTTTAAATGCATCATCAACTACTCAACAAACCTGTCAGTGGTCAAATTAAGTCTCATTCACAGCCTTCCAGGCTATACTGATCATCTGATGTATGGTTCGTCACTGTACTTTCCAGTATTTTCCCTTTGCTAGATTTGCGAGTATGAATAATGTTTTTTTTTAAATGATTTTAATCTTCAGACTGTTCTCAGTAGATTTCTGGTAGATGGAGGTGGAGGTTTAAATGCATCATCAACTACTCATTACGTGTTTATGATTTGTTTTGTGAGCTCAAAGTTATTAAGATCTGCTTTGTCATTGTGTGCAGAAGTTATACAACAGACACTTTCTGCTATCCTAAAATGTCGATATAAACTATAAAGACAAAGACATATGTAACCAAAATAGATGGGCATGGTCAGTCTAAGTCAGTAAACAGTCTTCTGTAATTCCACATGAAATAGC